AATGAGACAATCATAGCGGGACGGAAATAGTAATAAATACTCATCTTAAACTAATATTAAAAAATAAAACATTAACACCTTAAATATTTTTATTAAAAAAAACACCTTAAATATTTAATAAACTAATAAATATTCATCTTAAACTAAAAATAAAAAAAGAAAACATTTATACCTTAAATATACATCATAACTAAAATCCATGGAAAAGAATTACATAAATCACAAACCATTACAAGTACAAAAGAAAAAAAAACTACGTAAAAAGCAAAAAGAAAAGTCAAAGATGGAAGAGAACATAAAAAAGAGTCATAATTAAACGGAAGAGAGCATATGCGTAGTTGACTCAAGCTCGCAGGATATGAATTAAAGAAAAGATAGGGACGAACTATAGCGAGCAAATCAGAAACAATTACAAAAATACCCGGATGTACAGTGAGAACCGTACATCCGGGTGTACGATATAATTTGCCGACGGGGATTTACCGGCTGGATAGGTATACGGTGCAGCGGACTATTTAAAGAAAATAGTGGTCAAAGTTGGGACTACAGAGAAATAATCTATAATAGGGTTTATTAAATGCGGATCACGAATAGTTGGGATTAATAATATCAAATTTTCCAATAAGTAATCTATAAACTCTAATTTCCTCCCGTTCACTCATTTCCACCTTCACTCTTCATTTTATATTTCTCACATTTTCTCTCTCTTCTCTCGCTCTTCATCTTATATTTCTCTCGTCTACTCTCCAAGGGCGGAGCCAGGGCATTGGGTCGGACTAGAGCAGTACAAAGAATATTTTCGGGGAAAAAATTATACAAATTTTTTACTTTAAAATTAAAGCATTTTTTTCAATTTGAGGTGGGTCAAGGCTTAGGTTGGTCCCCTTTAGCTATGCCGTTTTGCTCTCCTTCTATTTCATCTTCTCTCCCTGCTATGCCACTAGTTTCTTCTTTTATTTGCTACTGGTCCATCTTTATTATAGTAAGATAAGAGAAGAAGAAAATAAAGTAGAGCAAAAAGAAGAAGCTGACAGGGTAGCAGGGAGAGCAGACGGGAGAAATATAAAATGTAGAGCGGAGAGAAGGGTGAGCAGACGAGAAAAATATAAGATGAAGAGCGAAGGTGATAACGAGTGGAAAATATAATTTATCGATCAATTATATCATGACTTGAACTGCAACTGTATAATACAAACATATAATTTGGCTAGTTCAACTATTTTAACGTTCTGACAGAGCAAATGTACTTGATTGACTATAAAAATATAAGCTCATGTACTTTAAAATTTCAAATGCTAGATGAAGTACTACTTACTCCCGTCGATACAACTTCATGTACCATTTTGACTCTTTTCTCAAACCAAAACCTAAACCGGATCTTAAACGCCCGGTCTTCTACAAGGAGACCCTGACTGAAATTGCTAAAGCTCGGCCCTAATTTACGTGGAGCTGCTCTTCTTAATTCCCGAACTGCTTCTGCAAACACAATTTGCGGCATCCATCATTAAGGCCGTTTCAAGAGTTTTATATTGCGTGGTGAAGAAGAATGGAGAACGGTGGTTTTAATCGGGGGAAAATTAATGCAGAAGATGTGATAACAAAGATCAAGGAAGACGGAGATTTCGATCGGCTCCGTCTTAAAGTTGTCCGAAAAGTAAAAGATGACGTGAGTGTTTGTACCAACACACCAATATTTTTTTGCGAGTTGATTTACTTCGATTCCCTTTTTATTCATTTATTCGCCGCAATCAAATTATCAGTCTGGTTTCAGTTCTAACTTCTAAGCTGAAAAGCTGCATTAATGGTTTCCAGTATCTGGGAGTACCAAAACTACTAAGGCATATATTAGATGAGGTGACAAGTTACTTGATTATATATTTAAAAGTTGACAATGTGCTTTTAGAAACTAAAATGATTTTCATTTATCTGTATATGTAGAACATGAGGCAAATGCAAATGTAGGATCCTTCCTTTTTTGAAGTCCGTGAGTGATACTTTAGACAGGCGAATTTGTGAACTTATTCTCAACGTTTTTAATTGCCAATGCAGTTGCATGATATCAAGGGATGTGAAGCCATACGTGATGGATGGGATTGTAGGCACTAATTTTAGTTTAAATGCTATAAATAGTTGACGAATGTGTCCAAACTTCAAATTATGGTCTAGGGAAGCAGTTTAAGAGGAGTTGATTGATTATCTCTACTTTTCTTCTGATATCCTTTGAGTTTTGATATTCAGTAATCAGCCTTACTTTTATTTAAATGTAAATTCTACGATTCAGATGTAGAGTTAAACCCTGAGTTTAGAGGAAGGTTGGGTGTGTATTCATAGTTGATGAAATGAACAGTACATTTAAAAATATATTCTTGTCATGATGAAACTGTTGTGTTGATGCATCCTTCTTCTACTTCAGTTCTGGAATCACTTTCTCTTTCATTTTAAGCACAAAAATTCATGTTTTTGGGGTGTAGTTTTCCTGGAGCTCTTGTTCATCTGCAAATCAACCAGGGTTGGATAGAAAGTCCAGTAGGGAAAACTGGAGGGTATCTTGTTTTGTTTTTGTATCAATGTTCTATTGCATAAAACATCCAATAGCATGGAAACTCATATCACACTGTCCGCACAAAGGGAAATGTTGCTAACATATCTAAATTCATTATACTAAGTACTGACTATTGACCAACAATTCCATCTGATTAATGATCTAAAATTCTCCCTTAAATGAAATGTTTATTTTCTCAAGGTAGTATAGTTTTGGTTGAAGGGAAGCCTTGGTGCCGGTTACGGTGTTGCTGTGTGACTGAGAGGTCAGAGGTTCAAGCCTTGAGAAACTTCTTTTCAAAATGACAAGGGAAGATTTGCCCTTAAACACCCTTGTGGTCGGACCCTTCCCCAGACCCTCTCCTTGCAGGACGCCATTGTACACCAGGCTGCCTCTTTTTTTAATACTATCTCCACCCCACTAACATTGGGACAAGAGGAGGTGGTGCGGTTATTAAGAGAAGTGGGTTTATGTGATTGATATTGAATTGATAAAATAAGAATAAAGTAAGAATGACTTGGACTCACACAAACATTACCAAATTTGGTATGCAACAATCTTAGTGTGACGAATTGAAAAAGAAATATGGGACAATCTTAGCGGGATTGAAGGAGTATAGTTCTGGTTGAATTTGATGAAGGCTTTTGATGTAGATAGAGCACTTCAAGGGATTTAGATTTTTTTTTTTATTTTAATTTATGACTCTTTCTTTTTCCATATACGGTAAATGTTAGGGAGTTGGGATGTTCGACAAATTGTTTTTTTTCTAAATGCCAGCGAAGATCTCTGCTTTATGTTTCTTTTATCCATTTGTGTGGCGCATACTCATGCCCTTATATGTTCATGACTTCTTAGAATCTATTAGAATGTATCAACGGTTTGTTAGAAAAATTACAAATAATTTCAAAGTTTATGCTTCTACTCCAGTTTCTATAGGTTTCTCTTCCCCTTAAACTTTTTAAAACTGTGTAGATATTATGTATAGGGAAACACACATTTCGGCATTCGGAAGGTGATCCCTTTATTCTAAAAGGGATAAGTTAGTAAAATCTTGCACATATATATATTTTCAACTCTTCAGTTTGATGGGATATTATTTATTTATTTTGGGAAGTAGTAGTAAAAGGCGCTTATGAAGTAGCAGGCAGTCCATACAATTTTCGACCCGATTTTCACTATGGGTCATCCAGAAACAGTCTCTGTGTGCTTTAGTACAGGGATAAGGTTGCGTACATCCGACCCCCCCTTACCCCACCATAGGTGGGAGCCTTTGTGGCACTGGGGTAATGATGATGATGATGATGGTGGATGCTCTTGATGTACATAGAATACTTCAAGGGATGTAATTTTTTTCAAATTTCTGCTTAATGAGACTGGATAAATTCATAATAAAATAAAGAAAGCAGCCTCTCTGTTTAGTTTTTTTTAGTAACAAATTTAAATCTAAAGGCAATTCTAAGCTCCCAGCATCCAATTGTGCCCGAAAAACAAAAGCTGAAGGACTGATAAGTAGAAGTTAATGGCCAACATTGAATTTGTTTCTTATGTCAATGTCGTTAGAGTCAATGGCCTTGTCTAAGTAGAAGTTAGGATTGATACTACATCAGTCCCGTACAATTATGTTCTCTTCGCACAGGTCTCTTGGGTACATTTTCTCACATGTGTATCTTCTACGGAGTAATATTTATTTATGATTCATTTCATGGTTTAGTTATATGCTGTTGTACATATATTTTCATCCCCCTTCTCCCCCAATCAAAGTAAGAGCAAAGAATTGGATGTGTTCTAACTATATCAAGCTTTTTTATAGGAAGAATTGCATAATAACATTATGTCAGCCGTGAGGCAATCAAAAGCACTTAACCATCCAAGTGCCAAAAGATTAAAACCAAGGCAACTTTCTGATGCCATATATGAAGAGGTTGGGTAAGTTGCTAATTTTTGTGGTTTTCATTATTGAGTTGAATGTGTTTTATTATGAATGGGTTGAGTTAATTCTTGCTGACCAATTATTTGGGGCAAATATATCGTGGTTGTAAGACATTCTGACTCACTCGTATAGTTTGATTAATCATATGGTAGCATGAGGACTCAGTATGTGGGCACCATTACTACTTTTCCTATATTATATTGCCCCCCAAAAAATCCTATTTGAAATGGGAAAATTAATTATTGTCCCCGAAGAGAGCCCTGTTTTGAAAAAAGAAGCTAATTTTCAGAATACTTAAGCTGACTTTTTTCCTCTAAAAAGTGCCCACATCCCACAATTTAGTCAAACCTAAAATAAATTTAAAGTCAAGGATGAAACATAGATTTTCAATAGTTGTACAATGGAGAAACTTGACTCTCTATTTTGGATGTAGGTGTTATGTTTTTGCAATTAGTTATTGAAGGAAAAACTAAAAAATGGATTCTGATATGCTCTATAATAACATTTTTCTTGTTTCGAAACATAGGACAAAAGTCATGAGTGAAATTTCTGATAATATCTGGAAGGTAATTAGATCTGTGGATGGCATAAAGAATGAAATAGCAGAAACAGTACAATCTGTTTGCAAAAGGTTATTAAACCCAAATGCTCATCAAGAAGGTCAAACGTCTTCCAACGAAAACTTTGAGGCAGATGCAAAGGGACTTGGAAGTAACAGCGGTACATGTGCAGTCAATGGTACACTATCTGATAATGTGCCAAACAAACCTCATGACGAGAAAGTTAGAGATGAATCTAATCTAGAGGCCCATTGCTCAGGGCGTCCTGTGGGTCTCAACAAAGAAAATGGTGCATCTGCACCTTCTCCTGGATTTCCCGAAGCCGTGGATACTAATCACCCATCTGATCGCATTGATGAAGACCCCGATGTACCTCCGGGGTTCGGTTAATGCTTCTATCCCTGATTCTCCTCCACAAGGTATTAGTAGTCGATACCATCATATTGTCTCTGTATCCGTTATGAACATATGATAACCAAGGTCACATGTTCTGGTTTTGTGACGATTTGACAAAAAAGTTCAGTTTTAAACTTGAAGCTCATCAATTGAAAATTATTCATAAAATTTAATCGCATTTAACCATTTTTGTGTTATATATACTTATTATATGGTGCTATAATTGTATGCTTTTATTATAAAATTAAATGATATTTTTGAAGTTGTAAAAAAATCAATTCGAAAGCATATGTCTTCCTATAGTGCTATAATTCTATTTTATTTGTATCTCATTTGAATTCAAGAAGACTGTCTTAATTTGGGGAAAAGTGGATCAAAATCATATTCATGGTTAAACCCGTTTTTACAAAAAAATTGCCAATTGCATATCCATGTTACTGTTAGCCAGCTACTACATAAGCGTATCACAAGCTTATCTGAATTGAATCTTGATTATTATTTATCCTTTAATTTGGCCAAGGTACAACTGTTATAAATTATAATAAGGCACAACTGTTTTACATTATAATAAGGTACAAGTAATAAAGATTGGAAACTAACATTGTATGTTTGCATATTATGTCACTTTTATGATTTCTTTTGGAAAATTATATGTAAATTTAGTTTCGGTATCAAATATGATTTTTTCTTGGGGCAAGCAAGTAACCAGGTATCTCTCTTTAGGTCTGAGAGAGTAATGTGTTCAACCATCCCTTAAATTTTGTCATATTCTTTTATTATTGATAAGAGCTTTTTCAATTAAATAAATGAATATCTGTACCGCCTGTACGGAATTTAGTATAAAATAATACGGAGTATAAACTTATCATGTGTAGAAATTTTATATGAATTTGGTCATATAGTATTGGACATGGAATGATGGAATTACAGGGTCTTCACTCTATTAATTTGCAATTCAAATTGTAATTGGCTTTTTTAGGTATCGTTTAAGGTTGGGATGCACAAACCAAAATGTTTTAATGCACCAATGCCTGCTGATTGCTCCAATACTACAATAGAATTTCGGCACCAAGGTATAATAAGCAGATAACATTTTCTTTATTTCATTTCAAGCATTGTGCCTGTTGCTTTTTGAAGTGTGCTTTACTATGTTTCCAAATTGTTCCAACAGGCAAATCACGTTGGATAAGGAAGGATGACAGTCAATGGATGAGCGTCCACCCTCTGTTCTCACTACGTTTGATAAGAAATGTAATTGCCTGTAGTTTAATGTGGTGTTCAAAACTTGTTTTTGAAAATTCTCACCAAAATGAAGGCATGAGCATGGCCTTTATTAATCCCACGTTTAAAATGAGATATAAAATGAGACTCACATTAGTATATTGCTCTTTTCTATCTTCTTTTTATTTAAACCCCGTCTCTAAAAGGTTTGCCAACTTCAACCTACACGTGGACTAACAAAATAAGAACCATATGACTAAGATTTATTTAGAAGAAAGAGACGTATGAGCATATTCAGTGCCATAATGTGCAACGGTACACATGTGATATGAGAGAGATAGACACATAAATATTAATGAGAAATATCTCTCTCTCCTTGTTTGAAAGGTCTTATATGCTATAGGTAAATTTTTCTCCACATTATCAAGATGGATGTATAGATGTAGACATTGTAGTTGATATTCTTTTGAAAAACTCAACAAAATTATATAAAACTGTGGAAAGAGAAATGTGAATGATTTGTTTTTCTGTTTCTATCTCTCTCAAGTCTCAAGCAACATGGATTTTGCACATTCTTGCATTGGAAATGCTCAAAGTAATCATAGTTTTTTTAACGGGAAATGCATTTTGGGATTACCTAATAGAAAAATATGGCAAACCTATTTACTGAGAGATGAATGGAGTTTTTAAATTATGGTTATCTTTTTAACTTATAGATGGCGCTCATTATTGTGTTTGTTTATTTGTGGTTTGAAGTAGAGTCGATGAGTGTAGATTTGATGTTATTTTGGCTTGTTTTTTAGCTTCACATTGATCCATTTTGACTTGCAAAAGGCATTGTTGACAATAATAATACTGCAGTAGCCTAGCAGGGCTTTACAATTGGACCGACTAAATTTGAGGCTTTTCTTTATTAAACTTAGTTGAGCCTTTTCCCAAACGAGATTTGCTTGGTGGACACAAATTATGTACATGTTTCACACACCTTGTCTGTCCATAGATAACTCCTGCATTTTTTAGACAATTACTTGTGCGGACTGGTTACTGGTATAAAAATTAAAAAGTGTAAAAGCAAGGCAAGGGACGACTTGGGTGAGGGAAAACCAGACAAAAATTTACCCAAATATATGCATTGCAAAGTTTTCTCACCTTAGTTAATTGGAAAATTTACATCAATAATCTTTACTATCAGCATTCTTCTGATTTGAATCCCTTGTACATATTACTCATAATCAATATCAATTCCTAAAATGATTCGTGACTTGGAAAAACAAGTTAAATAGACATTGATGTTACATTTATCAGACTAGATCAGACTAGGCCAAAAAGTTTCAGTCCAAGTAAAAAAAAACCCTAACAACCATCCCGTGATCATTTCTACAAATCTTGCATTGTTGAAATTACTGATTTCATAATAATGATGAAGCACTGTTTTAAAAATACTGATTTGATAAGCTCAGCTCAAATGAGTTAAATGACTAATGCTCTACTCCAGTTAAACCTTTTTCATTTTCAAAACAAAATGCATAAAACATACCAAATTTATGGTAGTTTTGTATGTCAAAAATACCAAATTGACTACTATTGCCAAAAACCCCTTTACTAATTCATCTGCCGCATTATATTCACATCTCCTTTCATATTACCATGATTATTAAGTTTCACACCAGTGTATAAGTGTCTTCTCCCTAACTTTTGTTTAGGGTTTGTCTTTCTTGCAAGTGGTTTGCACCGTTTCTTATCCGGCGAATGATTTGGATCGGCGATGGGAGGTCAGTCGTTACCACGCTCTACCTCTCTATGGTCTGCTTCTGGATGTGCTGCTATTGATATCTTCGATTGCAAAATCATCTGGCAAGGGAGAAACAGATCGGTGGTCCGCCCCCCTCCTGAATTGTCACCCTGGAGTATGATACTTCAAGAATATTGCAAGAAAAAGTTTGGAGTATTTGTCAAGTATTTTATTATTTATGGTCTTACTTTTGCGCTAAGTTTGATAAGGATTGATGGATTGATGATTCTACTAGATATTATGTCGTTAAAAAGATCTATACAGTCAGTGATTATTGTGTCACACCCGTTCCATGATTAACGATAGTGATCGTTCCAAAGTCTAACTGTTGACTAGTTGGTTATGAATAGTTGTCAGCTTTGTCTTTTTGAGTTTTTTTATAATGTGCCATAAACATAAGTGGTTTTTTCCTTCAAAAAAAGGGGAGAAGCTCACTATAAAACATGAGTTAGTGTTATAAGTTACATACATTACAATTTTAATAATCCGTATGAATTTTAATGTGCTTCAGTGCTTGTCAAGTTTTCATATCTCAAATTAGTGTAACAATGTTGAACTTTGCAAGGCTTTTTATTAGCTCCTAAATCTTCTTTAGGGAACAATGTTAAGGCGCAAGAGCGATATTTTCGAGTCAAATGAAACCATCCAGGAAAAAGCCCTTTCGTCCTTTCTGAACATTCTATTTACACTGTTATGTTGTATTAACCTTCCAAGTTTAAACAAGAAGCAGGAAAGGCTGATGCTGAACATCCTAAATCTGATGTTGTATTTACACGGTTGTGTGTTGTTTATCACCAAGGGGCCAAGAAAAGCTACCTTTTCTCCTACTATCATCTCCTGAATAAAGTTTACCCATGGTTAGACTTTTCATTTCCATGTTCATACTAATGCATTGAAACCAGATTACAATTAATAAGTACCTGAAGTTGTTAACAACCCTGTCGCCAAATTTTTGAATCTGCTTTGCAAGAAGACCTTGTGACTTTTCCTTGTCTGTCTGTTTTATCTGTGGAAAGCCAAAAATAATAATAATGGACTAATCAGAAATGCAAACTTAGCAGGTCATAACGTTTGAATTAGAGGATTAGAAACCAATCCATTTCTGCATCATCTATGTGGCCCAAAAAGTATTAATAATTCCCCATCCGTACTAAAAAATGAGTATTATTTCATCAAACGAGGTCAATTTTCACATAGCGTGACAATAATTTCTCAAACCAGTGAGAAGAGCAAGTTAAACCAACAAATAATAATACTATACAAACTGTATCTAGTTCATGACATTTACTGGTGTACCTTAATCAAACATGACTTTTTTAGGATAGGAGTAATGGATTGTATCTCATCCGTTTGTATTATTTGAATGGTTAGTGATTCCTTTTATATCCACTAGACACATACATTTCCCATCCATTTAGATGATTTTATTAAATGGATCGATTGGGTTTCTTTAACGAATCATAAATAAGGATGGCAATGGGGGCGGGGACCCGTGGGGAACCGCCCCGCGAGGGAAGGATGAGGCAGGTGGGGGACGGGGATGGATGAGATATTTTTACGCCGTTAAAATATGCGGCGGGGGACGGGAATTGCTACACCCGTCCCCCGTTATAAATATATACTCAAACATATATATACACACACACACACACATAAATAATGTACAAACATATAAAATTAGATTATATGTAATATATAACAAATGCATATACATATACATATAGACATACATAATTGTATACAGTTTAGTCATGGTTAATGAATTAATACATATTATACTAGAATAATAATAAGCTAGTCACGATTAAAAATATTTATCATAAATGTTATATGAGTTTTCAGAGTGAGTAAATAAATACACACACACATTTAAATGTAATATGTAATTAACTGTATTATAATTGTTGAGAATTTTGAAATGACTTACATGATGATAATATGTTTACTTATGTTTTTACTTTAACTGTCTTCGATTCACAAAACTTACTCAAATTGAAGAATTATTAAAATTGGGGGTATTAACTTTTAATAAACATAATACTTCAGGGTTGCGCGCGCGCACACACACACATGTGTGTGTGTGTGTATATATATATATATATATTTTGGTTCAGGTGAGAAATACATCTAATGTGAGAAATGAGAATGAATCTCAGCCATTGGATTTATGTTGCAGTAATATTTAAATTTTGCACATGTTGCACTAAAACTGTTTCATGTTGCACTAATATTTGACGGCGTTGCACCGAAATAGCTTCATGTTGCACTAGACACGTGTAATACGGATTTTTCATAAGTATTTATAGAAATGCCATCGTGCTAGATTGCATATTTAAGTGCATCATGAAGTGTCTTTTACTGCAACTTAGTCGAATCCAATGGTTGAGATTCATTCTCATTTCTCACCCAAAGGGTTCTTCTCACTTGAACCTTACCTATATATATATATATACATATATATACATATATACATATATATACATATATATACATATATATATATATACATAGAGTAATCTTCCGGTCAGGTATACCTGACCGGAGCCGCCGTCCGGCCTCCTCCTTTTGGGGGCCTTCCCGGTGGTATTTTTTGCTCAAATTTTTTGTGTATGTTCCTCATCAAGTCTAGTTCATCCATACCAAATTTCAGCCAAAAATTCAATCGGGAAGGTCGTCAAATGATTTTTGCAAGTTAACTGGTCCGGAAAATACATATTCCGGACCAGTTAACTTGCAAAAATCATTTGACGACCTTCCCGATTGAATTTTTGGCTGAAATTTGGTATGGATGAACTAGACTTAATGAGGAACCTACACAAAAAATTTGAGTAAAAAATACCATCGGGAAGACCCCCAAATGGAGGAGGCCGGACGGGGGCAGTGGTCAGGTATACCTGACCTGAATATTTCTCTATATACATATATATACATATATATATATATATACATATATATATATATACATATATATATATATACATATATATACATATATATATATACATATATATATACATATATATATATAGATTTAGGTTCAAATGAGAAAACCATCTTCGGAGAGAAATGAGAATAAATAACAGCCCTTAGATCTGATTTTTATTTTTATTTTAATATTTTCGTCCAGGGATTTAATGGTCTTTTGGGCTTCTTTCCATTCACGCTCCTAATCTTTTGCCACTTAATCCGTTGAATTGATTCGTACAACCTATTCCTAAAAAACACTTCCGCCATTCTTGTCTCCTTTTCCTTTGGCTCTTCTACCATTCTTCATCTTATCTGTAAAAATCCTCATTCTCTCATTATATATATTTTTCTGTTTTGCTTCTTCCGCCGACGAAGAGTGTGGGTTTGTCTCCTTTAGATTGCCGATGTTTCATTCATCTTCTTCTGCAATCTGGATTCTCTTTCCCAATGAATCACAGTAAACCTCGTTTTTTATCTCTTGGTTCAATTTCTCACATTTAACTAATTTAACATCTAGATTTCAATATACATGAATATATTTTTTGTTCGCTCTCTCTTTCTTAATATGTATATTAATTTGATTACATACATTTTTTCATTCTTTTGATTTGGGGCTTGTATTCAATATATTTGATCTTGCAATTTGTATTGATTTTAATTCGTAGATCTATTATTTCAACTTTGAGTTGTGTACTTGTGTTTTTTGGTTATTTCAATCACCCACTAATGCACGACAATAAATTACTTCATGCACGATCATGTTATTGGTATGCACCTGGGGGGAATTAATTAACCTCACACGCTGATAATTGTTTGGTGCACTAACACTTATTATTCAATGCACTATCTTGTTTTTAAATTTGCATCCGATACGAAATTTTAAGATTTGCACTCGGAGAGTTGTATTCTGCACTTTCTATATTTATTATTTGACATGTTAGTGCCACTTAACTAACATATGATTGCACTAACTAAGACTAACGAATGCACTACAATGTAATTTTTAAGCTAACTATATGATTATGTAACAATTGTAATTTTGTTTGGTTATCATGCAGATGATATGCATGGAAAATATGGAACTGAGTATGGAGGTCTACCATCATGGGATGCTAATTGTGTGTCATAAAAATGAAACAAGTGCACTGTATATTGTAAAGAAATGTGAATGTAAATTTGTATAAGGTCATCGATCAATTACAGTCAATTTCATTTTATAAAAAGTGTCAATTTAAAATTATAGAGTGTATACATAAAAGTGTAAAAAGTGCAATGTAAAAATGCACATCATAAAAGTGCATCATAAAAGTGCATTTCGCTTTGCAAAAAGTGTCATGTAAAACTTTAGAAAGTATGACACAATAGTGCAAATTTGCATATGTTAAAATGCACATGACAATTGTTAGTTGGAAACCTTGTATATTTAGTTTCATTTTATTTAAGTCATTTTTATTTAAAACTTGTATGTATGGAAGTGCAAAGCGTAATATAATGATATAGATAGTGTAAGCTAATGGCATCAACATGCATATCAAATTCCAAACAGTTAATTAAATTTAAGTGCATGGTGTTCTGAATAAAAGTGCAGCTCTCCAATGATGGAGTGCAAATTGACAAACTTAGGTAGATATCATTGACAGAATACTAAATTTGAAAAAATGGTTAAACATGAAAATTATCATAAAGCACAATTTGAATGATGATTTTTTTCAAATTACTAACCCGATAATTATGTGAGAAATTGATAAATTTGGAACAAAAATTAAATGAAAAGATGTATTTATCAAACATAAGTGCACCTATTCAACTTTGGAGTGCAGATGCATTTGAAAAGAAAATTGATGAAATTTAAAAAATAATGCATAATTCGAATAAAGAGTTATCTCAATTTATTTAATGGAATTTTATGTCTGAATATCAACGAAATCTTGGAAAGAAACTTAAAAAGAGAGTATTTATTAGAATAAAATTGAGGTAGCTACGTATTATTAATTATTACCTAATTTGTAGGATATCTTCCTATTTTGATGATTCATACGTGATAATTACTAGGTTGGATTTTACAATTGTGTCCCATTGTAAATATTTAGTTGTACCATTTCCATATTTACAACCAAAATGGTCCGAAGATCATGCACCATCAACTTCTTTTTCCAAAATTCCTAGGCCGTTGTATTGAAAGATTTGAAGGTTAGATTTCTTTCTCATTTCTCTCCTGGGACATCATTCTCACCAGAACAGTTCCCTATATATCAGGAGTTCCTGAAGAGCAGGCCCGTTCGGACAAGCCCATCAGAGGGTCTTCCCGATGGAATTTTTTGATGAAATTTTTTGAGCATGTTCCTCATCAAGTCTAGTTTGTCCATATCAAATTTCAGCTCAAAATTCCATCGGGAAGGCAGTCAAATAAATCCTGGAAACATACTGCACATTATATGTGCGCAGAATGCACCATATTTTTCCAGGATTTATTTGACTGCCTTCCCGATGGAATTTTGATCTGAAATTTGGTATGGACAAACTAGACTTGATGAGAAACATGCTAAAAAAAATTCATTAAAAAATTCCACCGGGAAGACCCTCTGACGGTCTTGTCCGCACGGGGGTTCTCATCAGGAAGACCCTCTGACGGTCTTGTACCCAAATTCATTAATTAATTTGGTATGGACTGTCTATATATATATATATATATATATATATATATATATATATATATATATATATAGGGTAATGCTAAGGTAAGGTAGGCCAAAGAATTACAATTCTTAGGCCTCTTTTATTTGAGGTGCTTCCGGGTTGAATTTTTTGATGAAATTTTGTAAGCATGTTCTCCATGGATTGAAGATTATGTCCACTAAGTTTCACAATAAAATTCAATCTGGAAGTCATTTAAATAAATTATTGATAAAAAATTGCATTTTATATATGTAAAACCCTGCACAATTTTGAAAAAATTATTTAACCGTCTTCCCGATTGAATTTTAATCTGAAATTTGGTGGGCATAGTCAACACTTCATGGAGAACATGCTCACAAAATTTCATCAAAAAATATGACCGGGAAGCACCTCAAATGAAAGAGGCCTAAGAATTTCAATTCTTAGGCCTACCTTACTTGAACATTTTCCATATATATATATATATATATATATATATATATATATATTGGTTCAGGTGAGAAATGCATCTAATGTGAGAAATGAGAATGAATCTCAGCTATTGGATTTACGAAGTTGCACTAAAATTGGCTTTATGTTGCAGTAATATTTAAATTTTGCACATATTGCACTAAAACTGTTTCATGTTGCACTAATATTTGACAGCGTTGCATCGAAATAACTTTGCACTAGACATGTGTAATACGGATTTTTCAGAAGTATTTACAGAAATGCCACCGTGCTAGATTGCATATTTCAGTGCATCATGAAGTGTCTTTTACTGCAACTTAGTCGAATCCAATGGCTGAGATTCATTCTCATTTCTCACCCAAAGGGTTCTTCTCACTTGAACCTTACCCTATATATATATATAAAATATCTGCATTTGTGTAGATATATATAGATTTAGGATCAAATGGGAACAATGCTTCATGTGAGAACGTGCGAACACCACATTTATTCCCAATGTGACGCACAATGGGCTCGCACAATGCACTTTTTCGTCTCAAGCATAATATTTATAAAAGTGTCACCGTGATTATTTTTATTATCTTGTATTGAGCAAAGTCCAAATGTGCAGAAGGGCTCGTCTATTGTGTATTACATTGGAGTAAATGTGAGTATTCTCACGTTCTCACGTTAAGCATCATTCTCATTGGAACCGCACCACATATATTTAGAATGGATTAAAAGTATATGCAAATACGATAAATTAAATCTATATGGGGGCACCCACTGGCACCCCGTGGAGGACAACGGGGTGGGGCGGGGATGGAGGAGCGTACCACCGCCCCAAACCTGCCCCATTGTCATCCCTAATCATAAATGGATTAATTGATTAATTTGTACACATCCACTATATAATCAAAATAAAATTTTATTCAATCCATTGATTCAGACACCTACCTTTGATCTAAAGGAGTGGGTAAAAACAACTCAAAAGTTACGAAGGATTGGAGTTCAATCTATGCTTACCTCACAGTCTTGTTGGAAGTATGCCCATCTATTTTCTTTAGAACCCTTGTACCAAGAAAAGTAGCTCCATCAAATAACCATCGTACATTAGAAAATATCCAAGGTAACAACTTCTATAGGGTCTGTTCGGTTTTAGGGTTTCAGGAGGGGAAGCTTTGGAAAGTTTGGACAGTACCTTGATACATAGACTGTTTCTAAAAACTAATAAGACGTGATTGAAATTCTATTCCATGTCATGTTAATCTTTCAGTTTTTATAAAATCTCACACACATATGAAGATATAGACCAACCTCTCCAAAACCCTCCATTGAAAGAGACCCTTAGAAACGATAGGGAATAAGTGAAACCTTTGAAGTTATGAAGGGAGGCTGTTTCAACCTTGAAGGAGCCTCAGCACTTGATTGAGTTCCACATGCTAGAGATAACTATGTAAACAACAGATATGTGATGGCTAAGTCAAAAACAGACTAAGAATATAAAAACGAGAATATCGATATTTTGTAATTTACCTTGTTAAAGAGTTCGATTGGTGGGTTAGAGTGATTATGATGAACTCCTCTCTTTTCAGTAAGAAAGTTAAATTCCTGTGTTGCAAGTAGTACAGCATATCAGAATCAGTTATATAGAATAAAGCTAACAAGCCTCAAAACCAAGGTGGTTGGACAATACCATGGGCACAGTGGTTTCCTTCTTGATGTCACGAAAAACCCCCATATCTCCTCTGCTCAAAAGTATCTGTATACACAAGAATTTGTTAGTTTGCAGAACTTAGGGAAGATATTGATTAATAACCTTCACCCTACCTTCTTATTAAGAGGGAGAGCTTTTAACTTGTTTGATGACAATGATCGTTCTTGTTTCACTTGTTCCGTGATATTGGGTCTGAAAAACAAATGCATATTTGAATAGGGATATTCAATTTAATTATAAAACATGACTTCATTAATGTAGCATAAGCATAAATGTTACATCCATATAGTTATAATCTTTATTCATAGCTTTGAGATTACTGGCAATGCAGGGTAATTTATATTCATGTTGTAGTTATATCCACCATAAGTAAAGCTCTGTAAACATCACAAATACTACTTACTTTCTACGTTCTTTGTTTTCGCACTCGAAGCTGAAACCGGTATTAGAATTTTGTAATACCTGAAATGACACTACCTTTTATTATAAAACTGAAATCATAAGGTGAATTAAGCACAGAACAGTTACAAGTGCTTTGAAATATTTACTGTTATATTCCTGCAAAAAACACTGCCTCGAGAACTACAGTATGCCATAAATTGGCCTCAGGTTCTATATGACAGAAAATTACATCTGCTGCTGATTTACTTTTCTCTCTTTGATCAATCATCATTTATCCCAATGCCGCAAAGGCTCCCACCTACGGTGGGGTAAGGGGGGTCGGATGTACGCAATCTTACCCCTGTACTAAAGTACAGAGAGACTGTTTCCGGATGACCCATAATGAAAATCGCGTCCAAAATTGCATGGAGTGACTGCTGCTTCATAACAAAGAAGCGCAGACAGTTTGGTGTGTCATTTTGCTTTATTCCATCATATTCTCAAGCCAAAAAATAATGAATCTTTGGCTCCATTGCAAATGATGGAAATTTTTACGGGGGGATGCAACACGAGGACTTCCCAGGGGGTCACCCATCCTAGTACTTTTCTCTCTTTGATATTGAAAATAATTAATTATTTAATGAGACGGATCAGTATATGTTACCTTCTTTAACTGATCACAAATCATCCTTGTTATTTATCTTAGAATCAAAATAACTTGTAAAGATTATTCAGTACTTCATAGCTTGAACTAGACAAATATTTTGAAAAAATCTACCTTATTGGTATTATTGGAAACAACATTGGAAGACGTAGCTGATTTGTGCTGCTTAGCCCTCTCTGATGTCTTTAAATGGAACTCCTGAAAACCAAGGAGAAAGACCGATTTGCTTGATGCCCAGTATGCACAAGAAAAAAATTGGGTGTAGAAAACGTCAAAATAGATCCAATGTTTTATGTACTTGAAATTGGGGTGGTTGTGGAGTACTTCTCTTTGGAATCAGTGAAGGAGTTTCAAACATCTGTAACAAGCATCAACGTCTGTGAATGTGAAAAAACATGCTTTATGCAGAGATAAATCTGTGTACAATATATACATAGACATACTAACTTTTCTATTCAAAGGACGGGCTTTAAATCTGTAAACATCTGATGTCACATTTTCTGTTTCTTTCCGTGGTTTATCCGGAACGTTTGGAATTGGAAACTTTCTGCTTCTTTCTGTGGTCATTTCCTAAATTTAACATTATGATTAGCTCTTGAAGTTCAAATTAATAACACCAACAATCATATATAAAAGGAGTATGAGGCATTCTCTTCTTCAAGGCTTAAAGTCATTACCCTTTTAGGAGCCTTATGAATGAAGTTTGTTTGTGCCTTTGTATCAGTAACCTGAAAATACATAAAGTGTAAGTGTGGTTGGGTGGAGGGATGACCAGTGTACAAGTTGTAGACTTGTGATAAGTTATCCTCCACAAAAACTAAAGTATTTATAAAAAACAATTAGAACCTTGTGCAGCAGACCACCTTCAAGCTTCTGTCTCTTGCTAGCTTGGTTATCACTGACAATTGCTTTTGGCTCCGCTACATCACGCACCGAATTAGGAAATCTGGCATTCAGAGAATTTCAATCTTTGGAATTCATATTTAGAATGAAAAATGTACAACATGTAATGTGTAAAATCCACATTTAAAGCAATATTAGGTATTAACCATGTACGTTGCAATCACACATATTATAACTATTAATAAACCTACATGAAATGTTTGCTAGTAGGGACAGTCATGTTATAATATATATTAAAAAAAAACAGTCATGTTATACTGCACCTTACAACACCAACTAGGTGGGAAGGGTTCTGCTTGGCCAGGTGACTTGCTGTTGGTTTCATTAGAGTAGAGGATCTGGGATATGAAGGCTTCCCACCATACTTATTTTTTGCTTTTGAATTATCTTTCAGAAGGTGATTATAGAATGTCAAGCCTGCAAAGAAACAACTTCAGAGCATTTAGACCTATTGTACTCCGGGGCAGGGGTTGGGGTCTGTCTAAAAAGAGCATAACCTGTTGGTAGTACTTCTGGTAGATTTTGAAATTTGACCATGGTGGTGCTAGCCAACATAGGTGCAATTCCTGTTCTATCTCCTTGAACAAAAGAACAGACCCAAAATTCATGAACATGTATTTCACTTTTAAAAACTACTCCATATATGCAAAAAATGAGGGATTTATCTCTTCCTAGCTTTTTAGTTAGGATGGTGATAAGTTGCTAACTTCATCCCTTAGGGTTATGGTAAAACATCAATAGGAGAAGAATATTCCTCATAATTTTCATGAGTTAACTAAGTCATCTAACAACATTCTTCATGCTTACCCTTTTAACAACAAATAATTCATCAAAGGAGTCCATTAATCATTAATCATTAAAGTGAATGTATCTTAAAAGCAACACAGAATATTCTGTCTTATTAGTGCTTAAACATAGTCCTAACTCCTAAGGGCTATGGTTTGTATTTTCCTTATAAGAATGGCATCCAGGAAAGCTACATAGTTTTTTTAATTTAAATATGATTCCATGCTACTGGAAGCTGCCTATTTAACTCGAGAAAGCTTTTCTAGCTTTGAGTATCATGCAGTATTAAGCTTGCGTAAAGGAAACATATTGAACCAATTGTGTCACATTGACAATACCTGCTGTACTACACACTTGTCTAGAAGAACGCGTTTCATAGACATCCTCTATATCAGAACCACTTTCTGACAAACTCATACTATCGGCATCTTTGGGTTTAGCGTCAGCACTTATGTTTCCACACCAATCGCCTTCGCTTGATACTAATTTTTTGACAAAAGCTGAAAACATAAGCAGAACTTATGAATAAATCATGGGCACAAGACTTAAAAGACACATGTCAGCATTGATCATATAATGGAGAAAGCATACATATGATGCTATACGGAAAATTAGTTTCGAGAAAAGTTCGTTTTACATGGTCCGAAAACTCCCCTTCGTATTAATAACCCGATTAGACACATTTCTAAAATGAACCAAGGTGTATTGTTCTTCCTTTACCTATGGGTTAATATATACCTAGGGAGTGTTAAAAAAATCACTTCTCACACCATGTGATTACAATGGATCAACACCTCAATAGCTGGAAGAACAAAGTTCTCTCCTAGACTGGGAAAATCAATTTGATCAAACATGTTTTATCTACCCCCCCCCCCATACCTTAGCCTCCTCTAAAGTTCCTAATGGTATCCTCAAAGACATTGAGCAATGCTGTGTCAAATTCCTTTGGCAAAAGGACCTTAACTCGAACAGTACATTTAGCTAGAGGTCATGGTCTAATGCTCCATAACCTTGATAATGAGAATGGATTGAGTTTTTGCAGGTTACAGGACATTCAAAACAGCTTCTACCTTGACATTTGGTGGAAAAGGCAAAAAATGGAACGAAAATATTATTTGATTCGCCGAGGACAAATCATATGGGCTACTGTTTTCAATTCCTTACGTTCTTGAAATCTTTCTGTTTTTTGACCGCCAATGTATTCTGTAAAACATCTCTACAGACTATAGTGTGAACACTACTATATCTATGCATGACGGCAACAGCTCCGTCTAGGATTCCTACCGAGTCCCTTTGGGCCCCTTAGCCCGTCATTGGTATCCACATTGAGCAATTCCCCCCATCTGCCACCTTTGGTTGGTATTTCAATTGATAAAATAGTTCACCTACGGGGTATAATGATCTGTATATTTGCATTACTACAAATTATTAAAAATTTGCAAAAAAATTTAAAATTCACCGCTTATAACGTGAATTCTTTGTTTATTGAGTGGACTACTACAAACTTACGTAATAAGTTGTTCCATTTGATTCAATAATAACACACATTGTTAAGACTTAAGTACCGTTGATCACATTGACAAATTCCGTGTGATCTAATAGAGGTAAGAGAAACTATTAATCTGAAATATTTCACCGTCTTTGATTATCATTAAACTTTTAAAATTCTTAGAATTTGTATCTTTTCTTAAAAATACGTGTGATTTTAATTCTTAGAATTCCGTGTGATTTTAATTCTCTATGCAAAACTATTTTATTGTTGCTAGGTTTATCAACGATTAATGGCTGCTCAAAGATTTAACTATGGAGTTAAAAGGAGGAAAAGAGACGTTGATAAGTTGCTAACTTCATCCCTTAGGGTTTCCCTTTGGGCCCCTCTAATGAGAGCAGTAATTACTCGAACTGCATTACTAGTGGTGGCTTTACATTGAAGTTGGCCTATGATGAGATTAGGCATAAACGCTGCAAAAACAAAAACATTGATGTTTTCTGGAAAAAACATATCCCTATGAAAATTTCTTTCTTCCTTTGGCGTATCTCTAACAATTTGGCTGTGCAAGCTGATTCCTTTGACCATTTTTTCCTTTGCTGCTCCGCTCAGACATCCATTTGGATGCACTTTGAGGTCCTGAGTCACAGGTCAGATGGCAATCCTAAGGACTACATCCTTAATTGGACCAATCATAAATCTTTTCACTGTTAAATTACTATTCTTTGGGACCTTTGGAAATTGAGAAACACCACTCTTTATGAAAAAAAACTCCTAACTACTTTAAGGCCATTTAAAGGGACCTTAGCTCCCTTTTTGTCACCAAGTGCTCTAAAAAAGACTTCTCAAAACCGACCCAAGACTGCCTTTTGGACTCCCCCTCAGGTCAACCTCCCAACTTTTAACATTGCCCACACTCAAAACGGCTTCTCGCATAACTTCAGTTTCTTAATCCGTAACCATAAGGGAGAGAAGATTTACCCACCATTTTCATAGTTGTTTAACAACTGTCGTCATAAGAGCAACTCCAACAAGCACCATCCCCTACACCAAAATGGTGTATTTGGCAAAAAATTGCTCCAATAGTCACACCATCCCCTAATGATCGTAAATTGGACTTCGTAAGGTGTCACACTTGCACAGTTGCACCTAATTAATATTTAGTATTTACAGCTAGCAATTTTTTGACAAATAGTCCACAGCCCAATAAGGAGATTAAACAGAGGTACTTTATTTCCACACAATCAAATGCATGGTGGTGATGAAACAAAAATTATACCCTTTATTAACTGGAGAACTTTTCAAGTTCTCATATTTTGGAAATGAGTTGGTTTGGAAATGGAGAACATTGTCCAACTTCCCACTGGTTCAAAATCAGTACCAAAAACTACCTTCGTCACATCCCCATGGATAAAACAAGAAACACCAGAAGGTGGGTCGACAATTCATTAATAAATCCTTGCAGATCGACCTGCTACTGCCTACATCAGTACCTCTAACATAAATGACTAAAAGTTACTGTTCAACTCAACATAGATATAGCATGTTTGGATTTAAGTTTTGTGAAATATAAATACTTGAGTAAGTTTTGTGACCCGGTTCCAAATTTAATCATAAAACCAGTACCGTCCGTACCCGTATGAATCTAACTACTAGTATATGCTTCTTTAACTGTCAAAAAAAAACTACTAGTATATGCGTAGTAGACTACTCCCTCCGTTCTTTTTTATTAGTCTCCTTAGGCTTTGGCACGAGTTTTAAGAGTAAAGTAGTAGGGGTAGTGTAAAAAGGTGTAATGAGTAGTGGGTAAATGAAAAAGTAGGAAAGAGAAAGGGGTAATGGTAATAAAAGTGGAGGTATAAAGGTATATTTAAAGTAAAAACTTTCCTTAAATGGAAAGGAGGACAGATAAAAAAAAACGTCCCAAAAAGGAAAGAAGGACTAATAATAAAGAACGGAGGGAGTACTACGTAGTATATCAAGGACATTGCGCAATTCAATTTAATACGTTCAGTACTAAAAATTAATTTTGAATATGACAAAGAAAAACTCAAACCTATATACTCTTGAACCATTCTTGGTATACACAAGTTGTACACAAAATGTGTACATTGTCTGTGTACACAGACAATTTGACATCAAATACTGCCCCTTTGTAAACGAATTGTCTGTGTACACAGACAACAAGGGGGTTTTTGTGTACAACTTGTGTACAACTCATGTACACTAAGCATTTTCCATATACTCTTTAGCCCCTTATACTTTTGTAGTCTTTCTTTTTTGGGCCATTCTTGGTGTACACAAAATGTGTACACAAATTGTACATAGCTTGTGTACACAGGCAACTAGGGACGTTTTGACATCAAATGCCGCCACTTTCCAAACGAATTGTCGGTGTACACAGATAAATAGGGGTTTTGTGTTCACTTTATGGACGTGTACAACTCATGTACACTAAGACTTTTTCTTCTTTTTTTGATGATCTAAAAGACTTTGACATTTTCCGTTAAGAAATCTAAGTTGGACTGAGCGAAAGAGTAATTATACTAGACATAAACATTAGCAGGTGAGCTAGATATGGAAATCGATAAAATGTACATAAAAACAATAATCTCAACTATTGCCGGTCCGCCAACATTAATCTCAATTATCGAATATTTCTGTATAAACCCAACTATATAGACCGTCCGTCAATAATAGTCTATGATCGGATACCACGTGCTATAAATCTCTAACAAGTCAATTTTAAATAGAAACTTAGTGTATTCTATAAATAATCTCAACTATAATGGTTCTTCTTTAAATAATTTCAATCATCAACTCAATTTTTTTTCAAAGAGTATAAAAGTTTATTTAAATTTCAAATTTTGAATTTTATAAATGAAAGTTTATAAAAGATGTTACATTTTTTTATTTTTCAGATAAAATAAAAGGTGTTACATTTTTTCCAGATAATTTTAGTTTTTGCTAAATAATTGTTTTTGGATTCTTTTACAAATTCATGATTTTTATTAACTTTAATTAAATTGAAATGATTTAATATTTTAGTATGATCAGATTTTAAATTTTTACATTTTTAAAACAAAGTATTTATATTCATATCTTTTGCACTTTCTTAATTTTGAAAATCAAAGATTTCATTTTTTAATTTGCATTAGTACTTAATTTGAATTTCACTTTTCCTTTGAGGTTTTTATATTGAACTTTTTACACTCTTTATTTATATTTTTATATTCATTATATATTTATAATATCTTACATGTTATGAAATTTTAATTTTGAAATTTTCATAAATTTTTCCATATTCTATAGTTATATATTTTATATTCTTTAATTTCAAAAACTACCTAGAAAAATTAATTTAGTAAAAAAAAAAAGTAATCATTTTTACCATTTTTGCATATGTGGTTATTTTAATTTAATTTTTTGGGTCCAATGAAAGTCGCTAGATGTTTTTTCAGATTATTATAATATGGTATTTCTTTTTTAATTGACTAGACATGTAGCCGATCTGTCAGACCATTATTTACGAAAGGTTCTTAAAATTGAGATTATTCTCAAATAGTCGATAATTAAGATTATTATAAGCGGACCGCTAAGAATTGAAATTATTTAATATATTTTCCGATAAAATAAGAATGATTTACAACCATACAAACATTACAAAACATTGCAAATGGAGCTATAGAACAAATTTAGTGGGGTGGATCCCAAAGAAAAAAAATGAGCAACCGGAAGTCCGGAACAGCAGAAACGGAGTAAAAATTACTAATAAATCACATTTTTGTGCGACCTCAAATGCAAATTAAAAGAAGTTGAGAAGTAGGGAAGAGTTTAAAACCCAAGTAAGACAAAATGGTAAATAATTTACGTAATAATGTATTAAACGAAGGAATTTTCATTGTCAGAACTAGGCAAAAAAAATTTTAAAAGTAAAAATACTGATAAACATGTTTTCTGGTTTCTAATATAATGAGAAAATGAAAGGAAGAAAGTAATTCGAGTATTAGCATGTAATTGTGCAATATTGCGTGGATGCAAACGAAGGAATCTGTATACTCTCAGCTAATGGAGTGATTTCAAGTGTCACACTTCGCCAACCTGATTCCTCCGGTGGAACGCTTACTTATGAGGTATATATTAAAATATACCTCCGGTGGAGCCCGTTTGGTACCACCAAAATCGGCTGTTTTGGCTGATTCTGCTGAAATTTATGATTTTCTGGCTGGAGTGGCTGTTTTGGCTGATTCTGCTGATTTAAGAAAAAAAAATTTTAAAAATATATTTTATTAATAAATTAAAGAAAAAATTATATGTAAAAATAGCTAAAATGGTCCTCTACAGTAACTTCAGCCAATACAGCCAGAAAAGTAACTCCAACCTTACTTTTTCGGCTTATTACACAATTCAGCGCGCGAAAGTAAAAGTTACGGTGGCGTTTGGTAACACCCCTTTTCGGCTTATTAGGTTTATCAGCCAACTTTTCCACCAAACATGTAATTTTTACTTTGTTTTTTTTTTTGAAGGAATGTAATTTTTACTTTAGCGTGCTGAATTGTGTAATAAGCAGAAAAAGTAAGGTTGGAGTTACTTTTCTGGCTGTATTGGCTGAAGTTACTGTAGATGACCATTTTAGCTATTTTTACATATAATTTTTTCTTTATTTTATTAATAAAATATATTTTAAAAATATTTTTTTCTTAAATCAGCAGAATCAGCCAATGCAGCCACTTCAGCCAGAACTTCAGAAATTTCAGCAGAATCAGCCAAACCAGCCGATTTTTCTTCTACCAAACGGGCTCTACGTGTTTGGTGAAAAAGCTGGCTGATAAGCCTGATAAGCCGAAAACAGAATTCTCCAAACGGGCTCTTAATTTATATTTTTGGTGAGATCAGGTGATGTTAAGATCCGGGGTTCCATCCTAAAAGGTCAACCTGATAGGATGAGTAGCCTGGATCTTAATATAGTGTTTAATCATTCCAAAGATGTCCGGTGTGGGACATTTAACACCCCTCCTCACGACCAGACACTTCGTCTGGATCGTGTCATCATTCGTATTTTTTTCATCGGTCCGTTTTTTTCATCCGGCCGTAATTGTCATTTTTTTTATAATCGTGTCATCACGATTCATAAGGGGTTCCCACACCATGGATCGATTTGGCTCTGATACCATGTTAAGATCCGGGGTTCCATCCTAAAAGGTCAACCTGATAGGATGAGTAGCCTGGATCTTAATATAGTGTTTAATCATTCCAAAGATGTCCGGTGTGGGACATTTAACAGGTGACGCGCTGATCTTGAAAAAAGCGAAAAATGGACCTACAAACAGTAGATTTTACCAGAACTTTGCTCTCAACGACGAAACATCGTGGAGAAAAGGGCCTTAGCCACAACCCAATGTATGCAGGTTTCCGCATTAAAAGCACAGCGCAATGAGAGTTGCGACAGAAGCTATAAACAGTAGATTTTAAAAATTACTCTTACATTTAGGTCACATTTACTGATTTGAAGTCTGTTTCGAAGTTCTGAAGAGGTAAAAAACGAAAATTTTAAAATACGGAGTAATTACTCTTTATGCTCAAAAATATCTGTCCGAAATGAAGAAACGAGTCAATACCAGCTTAAATAATGAAATTTATTTCTAAAAAAAATAATAAAAAATCTCTCGCATTCACAGCGAGAATCTCAAGTATATCGAAAATAATATGCGTAAGAAAATTGCACGAGAAAAAAAGGAAAGGAAAAAAGGGAGCTTACGAGACGGCGGATATGTGCCGGCCGTTTCAAACCAGCTCTCAGCTGCACGCGCCTCCACCGGAGACTCTCCGCCGCAGAAATTGAAGTGCCGCGGCGCGTCAAATTCGTAATCCAGATCAATCTCCACCACCGTGAACGTATACTCCACCATATCCTCCATCTCGTTATCCAACATTTCTCCGCTGCTTACAGTTCCTCTTCTGGAAAAAACAAACACCGGAACTGTAACAGAGTATTTCAAACGCACTTCCACTTTCTGCGAGCGTACGTGTATCTCTTTGGTGATCTTCGGCTGCTCTTGAAGTACGAAATCTCCGGAAAATCTGCCCGAACAGTTTAGACAGGAGAGTTTCTGTGCGAGGGAGCAAAAAGCTGAAGATTTGAGAAGGTGTAGCCGAAGCTCGGAGATTACGGACTCCTACGGAGACGGCTATTGGTCAGAACTCAGAAGGACCCAAATAAATTTTGAATTGTGATTATGGGCGGCCCGAATTGGGGCGTAATATAACGTTAGTATTTATATTTACCGGACCACTCTACCCCTGGGATTTTGTAGAGGGAATCTCATAAGTGCCCTTCAGCAATTTGAAGTTTTGAACTATAGGCACCGTTTGTTTATCACAAATAAAAACAGTAAAATTGTACGAAGTATAATGAAACCATTGTGCATGTTAGGATATTATTACCTCAGTCCCATAAGAAATTGCCATCTTTGAATAGGATGTGAAATAATAAAAGTAAAAATTGTATGAATGATATTTGTATAGAAAAAGAAGTTAACATATTCTCTACATTATTGGACCCTAGTGGTGTAGAGTTAAAACTCTAATATATATTTGAGTCTCATCATCGCAGGATTGTATGAATGATCACAGAGACACATTACAGGCAAAAGGGGAAAGATCATCAGACAACTTATCCGCAATCAATGTTTAATGTGCGTTTGCACGACAACAGTTTTTCGACAGAGAGACATTTAGTCCCCATGTCTGCAGGATTAAACTTAAATGAAATTTTAGTCATCTTGATATGACCTGTACTAACAATATCACATATAAAATGAAATCTAACATCAATATGCTTGGTTCTATCATGAAAAACAGGGTTTTGCACAGTTGAATAACGAATTGACTATCAGAAAACACACAAAAGTTCCTGATTCTGAGTCTAGCCATAGTACACCCGTTGAGGTGGAGTCCATACCATATGGTGCTAGTCCTTTGGTTGCTAATCATAATAATATCCATTGAGGGTATAAATCGGAGATCTGAGCTGGAAGAATCTCCTGCTAACAGAAGTAATAACTTGAATCACAAATTAACTACTCCGTACTTTTAAAAGAAAAGGACAAAATTTGGCAAAGTCCAACGGGACCAACGTAGGGATTGTTAAGGACACGAGCGTCAATTTGTCTGTATAGGAATTGTTAGCAACGTTCTTTTCAATCACTTATCCTTACACATTATACCCAAGTCTTGTGAACATTGAGATCCTTTCCAGAGCTATGTGTCACCATATCAAAGTATGGCAAGGTTCTTGAAGTTCACCTTTTACCTTTTATGTGATCACACTCATACCACTCAACTCCTTCTTTAGAATCGACCTAGATGACAGGACTCGCACATATGTGCAAACGCTACTTTTAAATAACAAATTGTAATTTGTATGCTATTTCTATTTATTTCCTTACTAACAAGATATGACAAAAAAGGTTTGAAACAGGTGATGTGAATTTTATACAGAGTATAAAAATGTAGGTGTAAATTTCTAAAAATAAGGGGAAAAGGGTCAAATAGAGCATCGAACTTACACAAAAATATCAAATAAGGCCTTATATAGGATGCTCTGTCTGGCCGTCGCCATTTGGGATGGTTTCCGGTGGAATTTTTTGATGAAATTGTTTGAGCATCTTATTCATTAAGTCTAGTTTACTCATACCAAATTTCAGCTAAAACTTCAACCGGGAAAACATTCAAATAAATTCTTGAAGATAACTGCGCAGTTATCTTCGAGAATTCATTTGAATGCATTTCCGATTGAAGTTTTAACTGAAATTTGTTATGAGTAAACTAGACTTAATAAATAAGATGCTCAAAAAATTTCATAAAACAATTTCACCGGGAACCGCCCCAAATAGCGTCGGCCGGACAGAACCTCCTATATACGGCCTTATTTGACCTTTTTATGTAAGTTCGAGGCTTATCTGACGCTATTCCCTAAAAATAACATGAGTGAAAATGCACTTATGTTTATATTCCTAATACATTTGTTTGTTATTGGTTTACAATGTTGGATACACATTTATATACTCCGTGTAATATAGTGTGCGCCTTACTACCGTTAACTGATAAAAATGTACTCCGTATATACAAGTATATGAATTTGAAATAGACCAACTATGCAATTTTAGCATTTTAAGTGTATCCTTTTAAAACTTAAGATAGTATTGATTTTGAAAGAGAATATACAAAAGTCAAAATATTACACCAATAAACTCTATATATATGCTGATTTCTTACAATGTTGTACTTTTCTATGAAATAAATACACTTTTGGTTTAGTTGTTTCCTAATACTCAACACCTGTTATATATTTTTTTTGTACTTATTTAGAAAAATGCAAACATAAATAAATACATGTCTAGGATATTGATTCCAAACTATGTAGCACGGAAACTCTCACGAAAGAGTACGTTTCCCGTTTCGGAAACTCTCCAAATAAGCCTATTTTGAGCAAAAGTTGACGTTCCCCATTTCCCGTTTCCTCATTATTTTCGCGTATCCGTGCAACATAGATTCTAAAAAGAGGATTTTAATGTATATATAGTGCGAAATTTTAAATAGATATTGTAATGATATATGCAAAAAAATAAATATTTAGCAGTGCGAAAATGAATTAATGCAATGAAAATAGTGAATGATCCGAACCATGAGTTATTACTAAATTAATTTAAAATATACTACTCTCTCTACCAATTAAAATCCCAGTTTGACTTTTGAGTCAAATTTTTTAAACTTTGACCTTTAAAAAATAAATATTTAGCAGTGTGAAAATGAATTAATGCAATGAAAATAGTGAATGATCCGAACCATGAGTTATTACTAAATTAATTTAAAATATACTACTTTCTCTCCCAATTAAAATCCCAGTTTGACTTTTGAGTCAAATTTTTTAAACTTTAACCTTTAATTATTCAAAACTAACAATACTTTATCACTCAAAATTAATTTTACATGTTTCATTTTAATATGTATTAATCAAATGCTAATTTATTATAGATTATATAGGTAAATATTTTTAGATAAATTTTGTCAAACGTTCGTCTAGAAGATCGTAAATCAAACTGAGACTTTAGTTGTGGGATCCAAATTGCTTTTTAATTCAAATCCAGGCAGCAAATACTGAAAATCAACAAATCTACTATCCAGGGAACAACCTGAGTTGCCGCCAATTCAGGCGTACTCAGACGCCCTCTGACAATTTGATCACTCTGATGATTCTTTCTTCTCAGATGACTTTCTGGGACATGCAATCGAAAGTGATAGTCGTCTCCAATTCCACACTAGGAGGAAATTAGGAACTCCGAATTCAATAGAGCGATTTGCAGCAAAGCTAATTTCGTTACCTCAAAAAATTGTCTGCCTACAGACAACTTGAACACACAACTCAAAATATACAGGTAATCCGAAATCTCCAAAGAACAAAAGGCGTACAACATGAGGAATTGAGGACTAGGTCTTAGTCTAGAGATTTTCCTTGGGTCTAGCTTTGTTCTTTTCCGTTTTCTTTTTCTGTCATGTTTTTATTTTATTTCCTTTTCTCGCTTTATACTGATTTCTTTATCAATAAAATACACTTTTATAACAAAAAGAGGGAGTATATATACCCTCTGTTCTAAAATCGTTCTAGGCGCCCGACTAGTCCCCGCCTAGGCGCCCGACTAGTCCCCGCCTAGGCGCTAGGCGGTGGCTGGGCGCCTCGATTTTCGTCTAGGCGCTCCGACTAATTGGTTTGCCATCTAGGTGAATTGGTCGGCCGCCTATGGCGCTTAGTTGCCCGCCTAGAGTGCCTAATCGGCCTCCTGGGCATTCTAGGTTCACCAAACATTACTTTACTTTTTAATTTTAATTTTCCAAACGATATATGTACTTTAACTTTAGCCATGGATATAAAGAAATGGAGTTGTAAATTAAGATATATAAAACTATACATGTTTGTAAATATACCTAAAATTTATCATTATTTATATTTATAACATAATGAAGTTAAGTGTTTAGTTATCGTATACTAAGTATGTTTAAATGTGATAATTGTATCTTTCATGTTTGTTAATGTATATGTATATGTGTATTTTATACACACAAAAATACATTATTACTTATCATATTTATGAAAAAATATAGATAAAAATGTAATTTCTATGTCTCCAATTTGTCCCCGCCTAGGCGCCTGCCTGGCTGCCTAGGCGCTAGGCATTGGGCTGGCGCCCGACTAGCGCCTAGCGCCTTTTAGAACATTGTATATACCTTACACGTTTTTATATTTATGAAATTGTCATTGTATTTAGTTATTTGATGTTGTCATTTTTTGAACAAAGTCTGAAAAGTGCAAGAGATGAGCTGCATAGTGCAACAAATTAAGTTAAAAATGTTCACTCTCACGTTCTCACTATAAACATGACTCTCATTAGAACTTACAAAGTTTCAAGTGCAATGTGTTACGTCCCCGTGATTTTGATGATTAAATGTAATAGTTTTGATGATGCCACCCATTTTTATTTATCCCTGTATTAGACTAGATTCTCTTGTTTATGTTCTACTTTGTTTATTGTAATGTGCTCCAATATTAGTGATAAAGTACTCAAGAAAAGCAAAGAGTACTAAAAAGAGAAGAAACATACCATAAAACAAAAAGAAAAGAATAAAAAAGAAAAGGTACGCAAAGAGTTAATTGATATTCATTGAAAAGGAAGTCATCTGAAAACCAAGAATTTCGGCAGCCAGCTGAAAGTTTGGCAGTCAGCTGAAATCTGGAAATTCAGTTAAGGCATCCGAAATCCAACTCTATCTTCTTTTAGCACAAAAACAATTAAACAAAAGACCAACTTGCAGTCAAAATAACAAATTGATGAAAAGTAGATTTATAAGAGATTTTTATCACATTATAAATTTATTTTACTTAAAGCAAGTATTTGTTATTTGTAAGGAAGCATTAAAACATCACTCAGCTTAAATACTATTTAAGTCTCAACGGGCAAAAGAAATAAAAGATAAACCATCTTTATCTTTGCCTTGAGATGAGGAATCAAGTTGAAGTGAAGATATTTGATCCATGTCACTACATGACAAAGACCCACCATGCTGCCTCAGTCAAGTGGAACAAAGCAAGTAGATGAAGCTACGGTCTGAATTTCCTCAGCCAACGGTGGAGATTCAATGATCAAGTCTATAAATAAAGGAGTGCGGGAAGTCCAAGTGTGATAAAACGAGAGGA